TCCAGCAACCCTGCACGACCCTGTAGGGACGTACAGGATTTTGGTACAAATCCTGTAGGATTTTTTCACTAGGGGACAGGCAAACAAAGACGGTTGAACAGGAAAGGCATAGACGTGACATGATTGGAGGAATATCTGGATGCAGAATTTAATGCACCCGTCAATTACGAGAGGCATCATCACCTTTTCTCGCAAGTTACCGAAAATAAGCATGTGTCATCACAGCCTCACCCCACCGTGCGGTGCTGGCTTCTAACGCAGTGTCGTGCAGTGCATCCCCAATAAACCAGCTCACATTACACCGATTTACCAGGCAGTTACTAAGGTCACTCAGCCCATTCTTGGGTACTAACCTCGCCCAATGCCCGGGGGTGGGTCGATAATCGTGAGAAGTCTCACGCTGATGACTGCCGGGTGTCGCAAGCGATCGAGTTGGGGCGGCATTGTCGGGCTGGTGCGTCACCGGTAATTGAGCCGCTACCCCGGACTCCCCGCTCATTGTGTTCCCGATGATGGCGGTCCTTGGACCGAGCTGAGTGACGCCGAGGGCCGGGTGACGGCGACCTCCCGATGTCCCTGGTCGGGACCGCCGGGCGGTGATCGGAGTCTGTGATTGGGACGAGTTATAGCATCTGCTACCGATGGGGACGTCACCCCGCGTGCCACATAATGACATCAGACACCGGGGCTGCTGACAGACACCATCGCAGGTCATAACAGTCACAACTCACAACCAATGGTCGTGACTTACAGACAATGGTCACAACTCACAGCCAACAGTCACAAGTCACAACCAACACTCACAACAGTGACAACCAGCAGTCACAACAGTCAACAGTAGCCATTTTTACGACGGCCATCTGGTACACATTTAGTGCACATTTGGTGCAGATTAGGTGCATATTTGGTCAAATTAGGTTCAGTGTATCTCTTAGTAGCTATCAGCTGGGGTTGCACTAATTGCTTATATGCCTGCTTTGTCATATTATCAGAGAGCATCATCAATTAAAAAACTGAAATAAATTCATAAAATAAAGATATTTGCTGTAAAAGAGATTAAGTGCAGATTTGGTCAAATTAGGTGCATTCGCCGGATAGCCCGTCGTGAAAACGGCTAGTCATAACTCACAGCCAACAGTTACAATCAACAGTGACAATCGACAGTCACAACGAATCACTGTGGCTACAGACGACGGCAGAGTTTGTAGACCACCGCAGCAGACATAAGCTCGCGGCGGATAGCAGCCAGATCTGACAGACAGAGCGGACAGTTGCACCTCAATGAAATCCGACAGCTAAAGTAATGCCGGCGGCAACCGCGAGCGGGCGGAAAATGTCACACATCCGGTCCAGCCCTGCACACCGTTCCAACATACAGTTATAGGCCGGGCGCGGCGGTCGAGCGCTGGTTTAGATATCAGAGTGTGACCGGCTTACCGCCCACGGTTCAACAGAGACAACGATTGAGATCGGAACCTGTTAGCTCAGTGGGTAAATAAATGCGTTAATCTGTTGACAGTTGAAACTCGGGGGTTTCAGTTGATGTGCTTGATATGATGATCAAATCAGAGACACGATTGCTGACAAACAATCGTGAATGCTGACAAACAATGGTGAAAGAAGTATACATATACGAGTATATAGTAGCGTGACATGTGCGCCGTGTAACTTATCGCATGTGACTTTTGTCAGCCATGTTGTCCAAAGCTGTCTCTGGATTCTGTCCTTCTCTGTCAGTTTCCTCAAACACGCCTTTGCTCCAATGGAGCCCATGTCGTCTGCTGGCATTCTCCGGTAGGTAAACTGTGTGTGCGAGCTCCAGGAACGCTCCGACATTCCGGATTGGGCACAGAGTCTGGACGGAGAAACAAGCGCCGGGAGTGGCCCAACTGCATTGGGTTCCGCGCCGGTTTACCTCCTGCGCAGAGACTGGTCGCCTGGAACCAAAGTGCCGTGTTCCACGTGCAGTAGAGTTGTATAATGTCCGTGCAAGGAAGTGGGTGCACTGCCACGCAGTCTATCTCACGCGACTTGGTGTGCCTGTTCGAGCCATGCCGAGTTCCCAGAAGTAGCTACGCGCCTCGTCTGATGCCTCGCTGTCATTCATGTGAAACATGTATGCAATGTGCGTGTGGCACGCATGAATGTGTAGTGCGTGCCGCACGTGGTTGTGCACTCTCTGCTCACGGTCACGTCACGCATCTGGGTTCATCGGACGCGAGCACGGCTATTTTAGGTCATTCGCTGCTCAAGTCACGCTAAAACATTCGGACCATTCCGTCGTTCACGGAAGCTGCTGATGCAGGTTTCTCACGATACGACAGTAGCGTATGGTGGCTACATGAGAAAGTTCGCAAAGCAGCGCTGTGAAATATTTGCTCTAGCACGCACTATGTGGATTGTGGATATATAAGCCACTGTGTGCCGTGAAATCGTTGCAGGTACAAGGCCTCAATATCCCTCGCAACTTATCCCAGCCAGCAAATCGGAGCTTTCCCCGTACGGGGAAGGCCTATGGCGAGCTTGGGGCAGGCTCGGGGAAGCCCCAACCGTTCTCTTGGGGAAAACGGAGCGTTCGCTTGGGATTTGAGACACTTTGTACGGGGAACTTTGTGCGGGATTCGTACGGGGAAACGGTATAATTGCCCAAGCGTTCCCCAAACGTCCCCCAGGCTACCCCCGCGCCGACTATGGTTAAAACCCGTTGTTAAGTTCGGTTCCCCGTACGGGGCTATCGAACATTTTCCCCAAGAAGATCCTGTGCGAGCCCCGCACATTCCCCCACCCGGCTATACGGGTTTATGCTTACTGGAGACCTTCCCCGATCGGGGAAACCGTGATTTTCCCCTAACGTTCCCAGACCTTTTCCCCTTGCGAGCCCCGGCCGTTCCCCGACTTGGCAATGGCCCCACTGCCTTGTCTGCTTTTTGCCCCGTACGGAGAAGCCAGTAAAAACCGCACTGGGAAGCAGATCGGGTCCCATTAAAATTGACAATGACTATTTATTTTGTCTGTAAACATACAAATATTTGTATAAACATACTTGTTTACATACAAACAAAATTATCCACTTGTTTCCCCGCAATAGTGAAACGATAAAACCACACAGGAAAATAATTAGAACCAATCCATTTGGCCATGCCTGTTTATTTCCAGACTTTCAGGACGCACGCTTCAACGACTAGATCAATACACAACAGTCGGCCAAGCATGGTATGTGTCTGTACCACCACAGCCTATACTATTTTTATGTGGAGCCCTTCATTTGATGAAAGGTTAACATGCTTGATAATTGATATACTCGTTACAAATCAAGACAAACACTGAAAAATAAAATATTAAAAAAATATGCGATGCAATATTGTAATGGATCTTACATGTTAAATATATTGCTGTCAATCACTTCAAAAAAAAAACTGAAAAGCTATTCACTTAAAATACATTGTTAACGCTTAGCAGGTGGCAAACATTACAGCAGCAGCGCAGCAGTGACAAACAACAGGTGACGAACACGAGCACTGGTAACCGGCAACCGGTCTAACCCCACTTCTAACACGTCGAACTGATCCTCTGCAGTAGGAGTCTATTCAGCAGATTGAGAACGACGGCTTTTCTGTAGTCTCCCTACAGGGTGGAAAGTAATTACGCGAACATGTATTTTCTTACAATTTCGCCCGTCAGTGGAGATTTTGTATGAGCGCGGGCTGTTATGGAACATGACTGGTCATGTTTGTTGTCGCCTCATCTAACAAAAGTGACCTTACTTTGAAAAATGACTTGGAAGGTCTACAACACCTCTCGGCTTCGAGTGGTGCTGACGCCATACGCTGCTCAAGACCAAAATGGGCAAAGAGCTCAATTTGAAGTTGCCAGGGAAAGCGTTTGTGATTATTTTGGCTGGATTGGTGCGGAAGGGACTCGGAACGGTCTCGGCACCAGCATTACTCAATTACTCGTTTGGTTAAAGCATAATAAAACTTAAGATGACTTAAAAAGCAAAGCCGTTGGCGGTAGTAAAACCTCGGCGAATTCAGGCGCCGAATGGGTGGTCACCATTTCCGCGACCAAACGACAACAGTCGACCCGAAAACAGGCGAAATGGTTTACTTTGGCCGGGTACCCGATCTAAGATATCACGATTCATACATAAATCCGTGAAAACTCGAAAACAAAGCCGTACAAACAATCGAGATGGCCAAAATTCATGAATTAACAGCAGGATTGTCAGTTTAAGTTTTCTAAAGACCGCCAAACCTGAACAGAGGAGGACAGGCAGCTGGCTTTGTGGTTGAGTGAGACATCTTCGAAGCTATTTCATCCGTCAAACCTGCAGAACAACGCGTTAGGGGCTGCTGATGCGTCCGACGTCCGCCCGTCCCAACCTTCAAACATCCGGCAAAGGAACACACATCAGCGTGTTATGAGCGCCCGGATGGTGTCAGAATTGCATGTAGTGACCAACAAGGCCACCAAAAATAAAGTATATAACTAGTGGAACATCCTTCCAGACGAGTCTCTTTAGCTAATCCATCAATGCACCAAAAGGGGCAAAATGACTGAGCGCACTTTTGTGACCGACGCAAAGAAACTCTTCTTCATGATTGATAAAGTCCTTCCTCTCACGGCCAAAAAGACGCAAGACTGGTGCTTTGAGAACCCGTTCTTCTTCTGGGCATATAATGGTCAATCTGGGAATAGCCCAGACCTCAATTTGATCAAAAATATCCAGGCGACTCTTCAGGAGAGCGTCTAAGAGCTGCTAGTAGCTACCAACATCGATTGCCTCACCAGACAGCTCCAGGAGGCGTGGACTAAGCTTTGGCCAACAGTGCTTGACATGCTCATGTCAATTATGCCTGAACGCCTTTGTCAGTGTATCGCACATAAATAAGAATATATGAAAAGATGAAATTTTCATGTCACCGCCGCTTTTTCCATTGCTATAAGACGAAAAAGTATGTTCGCGTAATTACTTTCCACCCTGTACAGCTGGTCCGGCCTTCCGTTCAGAAGTGCCCTGGATCCACAACTCGAGTCTTCCTTCTAGCTGTTTCAGACACATCTCAGCGGTCAGCTGCCGCTGAGAGCCACTTTGCTATGATCCATGTCCCAGCGCATCTCCAGGAATTCTGCGGCTGTGGACAAAAACAAAAATATGTGCACTTGTAGGTATATCAATCAGGTTTTACAGCTAGCTACTACATGAAATGTCCTTTTATGGAAACTTCAGCTTACGCTGAAACATGTTGAATGTCATTTTATGAAATTACACTTATTTATAACTCCCCCCCCCCACGAAATGTGCTTAAAAATGAATCTGGTATACTTTGAATTGTAAATAAAAAATGAATGTGATATACTTTGAATAGTAAGAAAAAAATGAATGTGCTATACTTTGAAAAATAAATAAAAATTCAATAATTAAATTTGTACTTCTAAACATTTCTCATTCCAGGAAAGTCATTACGTAATACATGTTTTACGTCTATATTGCGCCTTACGAAGTTCCTCGCGAAAGCACTTGACAGATAAATGAACGCCGTTTGACAATTAAAATCGGTTGCTAGTTTATCAAGATAACAATGAAGTCCCTATCACAAGCAGAGCTGTCTAGTAGAGCTGCTGAAACAGGCTCTTTCCGAAGACAAAAAAAAAAAAATCGAATGCGAGAGCCTATTCAAATACATGTATTTATTACAAACGCGACAATCGTTCGCACATCCCTGTAAGCGGTTAATGCGATCGTGATTTCATGTATTTAATTAATGGGCTCTCGCATGAGATTTTCTGGCTGTAGAAAGAGTGTGTCTCAGCCTTTAGACTTGGGTGAAGGACAGGTTGTTCAACAGTTCTAAGCTAACCCCCACCCCCATAAACTGCTTACCAGCTTCGCCTGGAAATCGCTCTTCGGTTGCTCATGCGAGCAATTACATCCACGCCGGGTTCATACTGCTGTTGTGGGTTCTGCCAAGTCCCGTCGGAAACCTTCCGGTCGTAACCGGCAGACGTCCCTCTAGAACAGAAGCGGATAAAGCATTAGGCTGATGACATTATATTGTACGGGCAATTTAAGGATAATCTCAGACGGAGGTTGATGACCTCAGTCATTTTTACGTCATATTATGCATACCCTGGACAGTGATCAAGATATTGTGTGTATCGGAAGCTTTGTCTTTTACAATAAATATGAGTTAGTATCATCGTCATTTTATATCTATCATGGATTCGTTACAATTAACACGCGCACTGCAGGGGGGGGGGGTTGTTTTCAACCCCCCCCCTGTGGTTTTTCGCAAATTGCGAGAAAACGGCGGCGCGTAGCGCCGCCAAATTTTGGATACCTGTTCTCACAACTTTTGCACACCTTGAGTAAAAATTTTGACCCCAGGTGACCTATGGTCAGGTCACCAGGTCAGGTCAAGTGACCCTACCTCGAAACGTAAATTTCGAAGTTTGCAATCCCACCAAGCCCACAGTTGTTGAGATATGATCTTGAAACCCACAGGAAATAGTAAAGTCATCACGAGCTACAACTTGTATATCTCGGAATTTTTATATCGATGACCTAAGGTCAGGTCATTTTTGCGACCGGCCCATTATAAGTCAATGGGAGAAATTTCAACTTTCTCTGAATGCCATCCTATGACTTCAATACGCTCAGGATCATAGTATTACAGGTCCCTGTTGGTGATTTCACCGAAACATATCACTTATGACCTTTGAAAGGTGATCTCCAGGTCATCTTAGGTCACCTGAGGTCACCAGCGGTTTTTCTTCAATAACTTGAGATTGAGTAGAGATAGAGACTCCGTTCGACGTTTATCGTGTTTTTCTCGTCAATGCGGATCGAATGATATGCAACATGACCTATTTCGGTCAGGTCATGACCTTGACCTGAGGTCAAATTTTCAACTTGACCTTTCGAGGTCATATTATACCTATCATTCGATGCGCCTTGACGAGCTAAGAACGATGGCGTTCGAATCGATCCTCTGTCTTGTGTGCAAGACAAGTTATTCAAGAAAAACTACCGCGAAATTCCTGTTGTGAAAATCGTAACATTTTGTCTTCGGTGACCTCTGGTGACCTCGTTTTTGACCTGACCCAAAAATGATCTTAGTATTTCTTGTCGATCTCATCTTAACCTATCCAACGCCGTTTACCGCTTGTCGCTACGTTGCGCCGTTTTCGAGATCTCAGGGGGGGTTGTTTTCAACCCCCCCCCCCCTGCAGTTCGTGTTCGGCTCAGACCCGCTGCAGTGCGCGTGTTAAGTGCTTTAGTTCATCACCAACACAGCATATATTCCTCGTCGAGCTGCGTCCTCCGTTGGTGCCGAGTCCAGCTTCTCACGCACTGACCCCAGCGGTAGATCACTACTTTGGGCACAGGTCAGTCAAGCGGTCACCACATCTCGCCGTTCACCGTCTTCGTTCACAGCTCTGTAGTGTCGCCGCACTCTTCAGTGCCAACCATGGTCTGACCTGGAGCGGTACCTAGCCCACGGCTTGCTCACACAACCGCGCGGCGCAGTGACTCTGGACCGACTTCCCCCGTTCGTCCCGTCTGACGCGTCGGCACGGCCCCATTCACGATGACAGATGGCGACAGGAGACGCCCCCAACCAGATGTGCGGACGGAACCGACGGCGGCCGGCCGTTGCTACCCCTCCCTCCCCTCCCCTCGCTGCGTTGAGGCGACACTTCTAAGTCGTAAGCAGTGTGTTGTTGAAATTTTGATGCTTTTGTAATTTCAATGCGATGAGTGATGACAGAAGAAAGAAAACGTAATGTTTATGCCACAGCAGTGCGAGAAGAAACATAGATCCTGAAAGTTGTCAAAGTTGTTTTTACCTCATGAAATAAGGGCACCAACGTTCGTTCAAAGTAATGGCGTATGCGTGTCCTCATCCTCACAGCTTAGCAGGCCCCGTAAACCAAGACGGCTTTTCCTCTCTTTTAGGTCGAAAATTACATCGATCAAATGTCTACAATCAAATGTCTGCGAATAACCGTTTTCATGATAGGTAACTGGTACACAATTGGTAGACATATGGTCCAGATACGGTGCCGATTTGATCAAATTATCAAACATTATTTTCGATTAACCTTCGCCCTGGTGGGGGGGGGGGCCATTTTGGCCCCCCCCCTGTGGTTTTTCAGCGATAACTCAGAAACCACTTGAGTTAGCGCCCTGAAACTTTGTATAGCTGTTTATTCAACATTTTTACATCATGTCCTTTTTTGGGGGGTTCGGGTCAGGTCAGGTCAGGTCACAAGGTCACCAAAACTGACACCACCTCTAAAAAAGTTCAAAGCTCTCTCAAAGGCACAGCTTTTATCCGATCGATGTAAAATTTACAGTACTTGAAGATGTCACCCAGCTCTACAAAATGGCTATCTCGGATTTTTTATAAATGTGACCTAAGGTCAGGTCAGGTCATCGCTGCTCCCCATTATAAGTCAATGGGAGAATCGAAAAGTAGTTGTTTTTCAGCTAAATCGGGCGTGATTGTTCCTATATTTCGTTATTGAAGTGTCTTGGGTCAGCAAATCACAGCCCATGTGAAACCATTTGCTTGTGACCTCGCTGAGGTCACGCTAGGTCATCTCCCTGGTCACCAGAGGTCACCAGCGGTTTTTCTGCACTTACTTGTTATTGAATAGAGATAAAGACTCCGTTCGACGTTTATCGTGTTTGTCTCGTCAATGCGGATCGAATGATATGCAGCATGACCTATTTCGGTAAGGTCATGACCTTGACCTGAGGTCAAATTTTCAAAATGACCTTTCGAGGTCAAACTATATATCATTCGACGCGTCTCGACGAGCCAAGCACGATGGTGCATGAATCGTTTCTCTATTTTCTCGTGAATGCATGCTATAGTTAAAAACATTTTCAAAGAAATTTGCCAAGTTGACCTTGCATGACCTCTGTAGGCCAAACCGTTGAGCTGAGGTCAAATCTGACGAACCTTGGCGAAAGAGCTTGAAAAGAGCTATCGATTGCTTTTTTCCGCGGCTCTCTAGCTCTTCTAGTTTCCGAGCTACAGCGGAATATGTCCGGCAACACCGAAAACACTGAAATTTGACCTATGATGACCTCTAGCGACCTCAATATTGACCTTAGCGAAAAAATGACCGAAATACTTTCGAACGTACTTGTTATGGGCTTTCGTTTGCTTTTTTCCGCGTCTTCCTAGCCCTCTTCGTTTTCGAGTTAGACGGGGGGGGTCATTTTGGCCCCCCCACCAGGGCGAAGGTGGCTCAGACCCACACCAGGGCGCGGGTTAAAACACTGAAATAGGTATATGATATGAAGATATGAAAAAGAGATTTGGTGCAAATTTGGTCACTGTTTGATGCATTCGCCAGATCACCTGTCATGAAAACGATTATAAAAAAAATCGTTATATTGTTATATTTTTTATTTATTATATCTCCCTTCAATCGATGCATGAGCATATAGCTATAGAACTGCTCCTAAGACTGCTTTTAGCATTCCCAAGATGCAATTTTTCTCTATTGAATACTTGTTATATTACATGCTGGAATCCGATCTCAAGACGTCCTACTGGCGGTTGGGATTCGTCTGGGGATTAAGTGTAAAATCCCGAGCGGGGAATTTCAACAGTTCCCCTACTTTTCCCCAATCAAACTGTTCTTGAAAATGGGTCGGGGATAACGCACCCTTCCCCGTACGGGGAATCTGATCTTTTACCCGACCGAACCCCAACAGTGGGGTTTGATTGGGGAATGCTGCTCTTTCCCCGTACGGGGATCGGTGTGATTTCCCCATGTCTTTTGAACATATTACCGATACAGTCGGGTAAGGGATGGGGAACACGGACCGTTCCCCGATCCGATAGGGGAATTGTACGTTCTCCCCAAGCTTTCCCCAACACTGTCCCCGCACTTTCCCCAACCGAATTGCTGGCTGGGATAGGTCCAGCCCTCCCAACTGAAATTTTGGGCGGAGACTGTTATACCCATGGTGGCTGAATTGTGTGTACTCGAGCTACTGATGTGCCATTGTGATGTGACTCATGTAATTATTATCCATTCGGCCGACTGATGTGTACAACTACAATCATGTGAGTTGTGACTGATGTATCCACTCTGACGTCTATGCTTTGCCCACACTGTTCAGCTTGCTACTCAAGTACACATCTAGTAGTTTGCTGACTGACGTGTAACTTAGGAGTTAACCCGGCAGTTGCTGGGGTATTTCGCCACCCACCGTTTGCTGGGGGGGGGGCGTTAAACGCCTCCAGCCGATAACTCGAGAACCAATAGGCGCAGCGAAACGCACGAGGCGGCAAACGAAAGAGCGCGACGAGACGCTTCAGATGAGTACTTTAAAGTTGAATTTTGAGGTCACATGTCGGGTCAAGGTCAGGTCAAACACCTGAAATCGGGCTTTCAGTAGCATGGATTTCAGGACTTCGCAATGGGCGCCTCTCGTCATGAACTCTGTCCAAACGGTGCACAATCCATCATATAAGGCCTACAAGAGTGTCAGCTCCATGTAGGGGTCAGTCAAGCATAGGTCAGGGTCAAGGTCAGGTCAACCGGGTAGGCACATATCCCCGAAAATCAAAACTGATATTCGCAGCCTGTGACACATGTTTTATAGGTAATTTGGGGCGTAGAATACGATGGTGACATTCATTTTATCATATGTGTACGTGTTTGGCTCAAAAAGTTCAATTTAAGAAATGCATGTATCATGGTCGTGAAGTAGTCACGAAAAATTGCCAAGATTCAGTTCAAGATTATGGAAAATGCGGAACGATAATCAATAATCGAAGATAGCCATTTGATTGATCATGGTATTGGCAGTCTAATGGCGTTTACGGCATGTCGTCTGTATGTCTATTCTGTGATTTTATATGATTTTTTTGAACATATGCCGTTTTTGGTCGAAAACTGAGAAATCATGACGTCACTAAAACCTCGATATCTCAAAATTTTTCCGACCGATTTTTCTTTGAAACTTTGTCACAATAAACTTCAATCAATTCCCTACAGGTACCCAAATGCGGCGCGCCGTTTATATGCTATGGCCCGGCGAAAAAAGTGGGGGCGTTTAACGCCCCCCCCCCCAGCAACTCGCGGGTTAACGTTTCGATTGGCGATTGATAAACACATGTTAATGACAGGCGAATGTCTGTCCATGTCCGTCAAATGGATGTCCATTCGTCTGTCTGACGCATTGCCGTCTGTCGGCCGGGTCTCAGGTGAGCTGTTTTTCGACCCTCTGGAGCCGGTGCCACGGGTGTTCGCCGGCGCGCCGGCCGGTCAGCTGGTGACCCAGGTCTACGCCCGTGACCTCTCCGACCCGTCGGTGCGGCCCACCTACTCGCTGCCGCAGGGCGCCGACTTTGCCCAGTTCCGACTCAACACCAAAAACGGCCGACTCTACACCAGGAGGTCAGTGGGAACCAGCACTCGTGCTCTTGTGCTATTATTCCATTCAATAATGTCATAGGATCAAGTAAAACGCTTTTATAGAAATATATCAAAGAAGTGATAGCCGCATGCTGCATCATTCTCATGATAGACACATGACACTATTTGACACCGTTTGACACACAGGCCCGTGAAGCGTCGCGTCAATGATACCTACGAGCTGGCGGTCATCGCGTATGGCGGCGGGGAGTCGAGGGTTCAACAGATCAGTGTACTCGTCTCAGAGAAGAACATTCACCCTCCCAAGTTTACTCAGACCATCTACAGGTAAATGCACGCTTGTCAGTTGTCGGTGCATTATTTCCTACCAGCTGCTCTACGACTCATGCGGTCAATTATCCGTCTATTACAGCATCGATAAGTGTGTCAAGGCAGTTATTTTTATGGGTTCTACTACTATTTGATGAGTGCAGGAAATAGCAGACCCATCGCGTTTGCATAAAAGGCCTCGCTGGATCTGGAAACGCGGAATAAATGTATCGTCTGTATTCATGCTTCTTAACGCTGGAAAAGTGAATGCTATCGATTAGGACTAGCATCGGTTGTGTTTTGATAGATGCCTCGTATGCCGTTTCATAGTGAACCGTCTATTGTTGTCCCTTAGACTGTGTGACAGTTCTATCATTAATTCATTTGCTTACGTGCCTGAACTGCGCCTCGATGTATGTTTTTCCGCAGTGTGGAAGTGCCGGTGAACGCCGTCGCCGGCACTCCCCTGGTTCGTATCCGAGCCACCGACAACGACACTGTTCCCTACAACCGTCAGCTGGTCTACAGCATCACTGCCTCTGATGACACGGTAAGATGACAGACCCTCGTCCGTTCCGGCACGACAAGCCGTCGTCCCTTCCGTCACATAGTTTCTCGGCCTGCACTGGAAAGTGGGAGCTCCTCTTAACCGGAAACCGCGCATTGCAGAGACGTTGGACCGTCGTTCCTCTTCCGTCGTGTCATACGTTCAATACCTCATCTCCTCCTGTGCGCTCCACAGAGCCGGTACCTCTCTTTGGACAGCGACAGTGGCCAGATCACCCTCCGCCGGCCACCGCCGCCAGGTCTTTCGGCTCTGAACGTCACGGTCTCGGCCCGGGACCTCGGCTCGCCGGCCTACAGGGACGTGGCCGGGGTGCAGATCACCTTCAGAACCATCTCAGGTCAGAGAGGGTGACTCGAGGTAGATTGGGAGGATAGAGGGGCTGCTGCCAGGTGGTGTAGGTTTTCAGAGACTTGTGATGATTTTAGCAGTTCTTTTCACTGACAAAGTCGTATCTTCTAAATTTGTGAGAAATACGTTTAGCGCTTCGCGATCGAAACAAAATCTCGAGCTTTGTCTCTGGCTTCACACTCTTCTATCAATAAAGGCCACTTCGGCATAGCCGCAATCTTCTGTAGCAGTTTCATGCGTTTCCTGTCGTTCGCTCTCCGCCGTTTCTCTACTCTCTTCCTCTCCTGTGCTCATTGTGTGTCTCGTCTGTGCAGAGCCGGAGAAGCTGCGCACGGTGCCGATGTCGGACACTAGTGTGATGGTATGCTGGCGTCGGCCGCGACTCGGTGTCGTCAGCGGCTACCTGATGAAACTCACCTTCGAGGAGAGTACGGGCGGGAACATCACCCGTCTGGTGCGGCGCCACAGCGAGCAGCTGCTCGAGGGACCCCGACTGCAGCCCAGACCGAGGGTGAGCAGCAGTGACTGGTCGGTAAGACGGGTATCATGCCTAGCGTAGGCGGCTTATCATTAAAAATCTGTGATATTACCGTAACTGGTCAGTAAAAATTACAAATTGACATCGTTAGCATCCGGTTAGGAGCATAAAATCAATGGCAACTTCCTATGCACATGTTTGTAATGCATATTTGTACACTCGACTACAACCAACGAGTAGGTACCTACACTGAAAACGCCTTTATGTCGAGGACTGTCCACGACCCCCTATCTTGACCGTCCCACTTCAACGTTCAACAACCTTCAGCGATAACCTACAATATTGCACAAATACAATGTCGTGATCGTCCAGTAAACATTTTGTGCGGCTCATGTTTTCCAGTGGAATGTATCGTACCGTGCAATGTCTTTGCACGAATCGACACGATACACTGTGCAAACTTTCTATGTCGTGAACCATGTTTGTAATCATTGCACGCATGCCGTGCCTATTCTGATAATCTCCGATAGCTGAAGTGCATGACTGATGCAAGTCTATCGATGACAGAATGTCGAAACCAATAAGCAATGAGTATGAAGTCACACGTTAGTGATACGGTGACGTCACGTTTGCCGTCTCCACCCTGATCGCAGGGTTATCGTGATGACGACGACGATGACGACGATGACGCTGTGACGATGGCGGCTGGAGAGCAGTGTACGCTCCTGGACGGTCTGCAGCCTTGGACCACGTACCACCTGGTGGTACACGGGTACCGGGAGCACGAGACGGGCATGGCCAGTGAGAGCATTACGTTCGGGACACGCCGCAGCCGTGAGTACCCGGCCTCGGAGAGACACAAGGTGTTTGATGGATGCGGGTTGGCCCGACCAATCAATCAGGGACAGCCAACGGTAAACGAAAAGGTTTATTAGCATTATCATAATATCTTCTCAATAGTTTATATTGTTGTCGATATTTTACGAGAGAATAGTCCTATATGCACCGGTGCCTTCAATTCTGCACAGTTCATGACGCAGCGTTTGTGGACTGTGTCCTCTGCAGCCTGTTCGGGCAGTGTGTGCGGTCCGGGGACCTGCCGTCGCTCCGGCGCCGCCCCCGGCTACAACTGCTACTGCCCCGAGGGCACCTTTGGCCAGCGCTGTGAGCTGCGAGACCCCTGCTTCAGCCGACCCTGCCAGAACCTCGGTGGGTTTTGAAATTCGCTCGTCAGTTTCTAGAGTGGTTTGAGGAAGATGAGGTATGGGAACAGTACGAATAATGGTTATCGCACAATGATATAATAGATTAACAAACGTATTTGATTGACCGTCATTCGTTACGAGAACAAACCGCTTTAGGATAACTCTTTAATCGTCTATTTTTGGTCAATATTTAAACGCCTGGTTAATGAAGTCGCTTCTAGGGACTAGTTTATATTCACCACATGTAAAATGAAGTGTTTGGTGATGCATCCGCCTTGCCCTTATTTATGCATCTGTGGCTTATTTGGTTTAGGTGCTGCCTCTTTTCTTTCTTTCTTTTTTAAATGTGCTGCAGTCGAACTCAACACTTATTATGAGCAGTCTGGTAAACCAGCTTGGCTTGGCCAAATTTAATCGTATATTAGTTGGCACCATTGCTCCGATAGTACTAAAGTTATCACGCTATTCTGTCCTGTCCCCAGGTGTGTGCCATAACATCAGTTCGGACCAGTTTGAGTGCCACTGTATGGCTGGCTTCCACGGAGAAACGTGCGCAGACTTCAACCCATGCCTGAGTCATCCTCCGCCCTGTCAGAATGGAGGCACATGTCACAGGTAAGGGCAAACTCCAGTCATTCTCCGGCCTATCGGGACGGAGAATCATTGAACGCATAGCGTGAGATAGACATGACATGCAATGCGTGTGCGCAGTCATAATTATGGGCACTGAACAAATTAGAAGCTCGTTATGAGCAAATTAATGTCCTTGAACTGAAGCGCTTGAACCTCGCATTATGTCGATGTGATGTGGAGGTGGAGGCAGAGACCGTCTTTTTCTCTTACTTTTACATTCACTTTGTTTATTTCAGTGACGTCTCAAACAAGTACTCGTGCATCTGCCCTCCTCTGTACACGGGTGACACGTGCGATAGGCGGAACCCGTGTCAGGAGAGCACGTGTAACAACGGCACGTGTCACGAGGAGGACGACACGTACTACTGCGACTGCGATCCGGGGTACACCGGTGAGCGAACGTTCCAATGGCTCGTTTATTAGCAAAACGTGGTACTGGTATATCGTACACGTTAATTGGGCTTGTGGCGTATTTTTGATCCTCACTACTTCGGCGTGTGTTTCACCGTCCGCCAGGCGACCACTGTGAACTGAAGATAGACCACTGTGCGTCCTCGCCGTGCAAAAGTGGCGCCACCTGCGTAGGTGGAGCCACCGGCTTCACCTGCCACTGCGCTGAGGGCTTTACGGGAGACGACTGCAGCATCAATATAGGTGGGTGTCGGGAGTCCGGATGGTGTCTGTCCTAAGCAAAATGATTAGCGTATCGAACATCATGCAACAGCATTTGATGATAATGTTTTGCTAGGTCTTTGAATTGATTCTATTTCTTTGGTCGGCGTGTAAGCGCACTTATCCTGGTCCGAAACATAAGACGGCATTGTCCACCTCCCTTGCACCGGTTTTCAATCCAACAAGTAACTTCTAGCGTCACTACAACAGTTACTAGCAATAGACATGATGCCCCTGTCCTCGCTAAAGATCGGAGCCATATCCAGGTGATACATGTTGTCGATGCCCTCAGACGACTGCGCCAGCCAGCCGTGTAAGCACGGCGGGGTGTGCGCGGACGGCGTGGCAGAGTTCGTGTGCACCTGCCCGGACGGGTACGCCGGTCACCTTTGTCAGACCGCAGGTACGAACCAAGCTTATATTCTGAGCATTGTCGCGATCTCCAGATACCTTTCCAAAGATTCGGGACTGATTATCTCTAAATATCCGAGTGTCTTGTAATTAACCGTCGCTTTATAATTATTTCTAATGATGACAAATAAACATTGTTCGATTGTTGCACCTATCTGATTATCCAACACCTAATCCTCAGCCATATTAAACTGACGCAATTCTCTGCTATACCGTTCAGTGTTCTGTCCATCGGAGACCGTGGACAGCTCTGTGGGCCTGCTCGAGTGGCCCGAAACACCGTCCGGGCGAAAAACGTCGCTGCCCTGCCCCGCCGGAAGACGGCTCAGCCCCGCAGAAGAAGAAGATGGAGAACAGGACAGCGCTGAGGATGGAGACGATGATGAGCACCTCAGTCCTAATGACAGGGAGGATGATGAAGATCTCAATCCCGAGGACAGGGAGGACGATGGGCAGCTCGACCCCGAGGACAGAGACCGGCCTGCGGTGGCCACCCGCCGCTGTTTGCGGCCCAGCGGCCACGGCCAGCGGCCGCTGTGGGAGGAGGCCGACACTCATCTGTGCCGGGACCAGCGGCAGGTGCGTACGAGATTGATTCAGCTTCTCGTGGAGCGTGGAAGTGCTCTGGATGCACGATATGCAGCAGGTAGTTCGTGTTATAACGGCTATAGCCATGCGGTACAGCCTACCTTCAGGCGCTTACAACTAGCGACATCTGGCGACGGATTTAATAAGCTTTGTGATTGAGAATGCGCTCGGAGGAATTAAGGTTGAGTGACTGAAATTAAGGATTTTGTACGGATTGAGGGCTAGTAACTACAAAATTTTCGATTATTCAGGCATGGGAATGTGCAGGATAATGACTAATGTCGATAAAACACGCATGGGCGCCGCCACCGGGGGGGACGGGGGGGACGCGTCCCCCCCACTCTCAGAAAGGAAGGGGGACGTCCCCCCCCAAACTCATTACGGAGCGAGCGAAGCGAGCGTAGTCTTTCGTATAGGTTAACGAAAATTTTTGAGTATGCCGTGGTCACGCCTTTGCTAGGCTTATATCTCAGCAACCACTTGACCGATTTACATGCGGTAATTTTTGTAGGGTAGCACTAGATTCATTCCTTCTAACGAGCATCGGACTATTCCCAATGCATGTGAGTGACCCCATATACCACGTGAAAAACGAAGATGTGTCAGTTTTGTAACAATTTCAATAACTCGGCAACTACTGGGCCGATTGCGCTGAAAGTTGGCATGTAGGTAGGTATACCCACTAGGCAATGCATAACCGTGTGCCACAGTTGGGGTGCTGCTGCACGTGCGCACATGCAGGGGTCGATTCCAGATCTCGAGAACGGCTGAACCGATTGTGCTGAAATCTGATACACGTTTAGGGACCAGTTAGTAGGGTGCCGTGCAAAAGTCAGTTGGGACCCATTTTGCACGTGCGCACGTGCAGGGTGTCGCTTCCAGATCTCGAGAACGGCTAGGCCGATTGCGCTCAAATTTGGCACATGGTTAGGGACCGGTTTGAAGGATGCAGTGCACAAGTTAGTTGGAGGTATCCCCTCACAACTTCGCACGTGCAAGGCCCACCCCACCCTCTCTCTCGCTCCGTTGGTCGCCCCAAAAGGCGTTTTACTGGTTCTTATCCTACTCGAAATTTGATTAGGCCCTTCGGTCCAATGAGACCATTTCAGAGCCGCAAGTATGAAAGAATTAGTGGGAGACATTGGTCGGGGCAGCCACCCCAGTGAGCCACTTGGGATGAACCCGACCAATTGAACAGGCAGCCCAGCCCACTGGCACTCACTGCACCCGGCAAAGGACTATAGCTCCAGTGGAGCCATTCCCGCATGGGGTAGAGTTGCCCGTCCAGCCCGGAGCAGGGGGTTGCGGCGTGGAGTATGAAGGATTTGACTGTCCTGAGGATGGAAGAGATGGAACGGCCGGTGCCGAATCTGAGAGGGTCCAGGAGGTTTAGATGCTCAGTATATGGGGTGTGGGCCTATGTACATGCATTGGTCTGACCCCTGCCACCTCGGCCAACAAAGTCTCCAGCTCTTATCCGACCTGTCATCGCGGAACTGCCGATTTCTGATATCGTGATCAACGTGTGTCGTATAACACGACTGGCCGAACACGGGCCTAATATATTTCGTCTAACCAGCCAAGAGCATGAATTTACACCAATCCGACCTCGAAGTCAAAATCCGAACATTTTTCGAAGACTTCAACTCCGACTCTGGCCAAAACTGGCCAAAACAGTCAACTCCGACTGATTCTGGCTCCGACCCCACACTTCTGCAGTCACGCTACACTAAATTTCCAGCTTCTAAGAAATAAGCTATACGGTTGACAGGACCACAAAACTTTGAGGCGACTTGACTACTTGACTTGGTTTTCCTGACCTAAGGTTTTCTGCTATCAAGCTTGTTACACGGGCTGCAAAATTCGTATTTTGGAGCAGTTTTGCCTAAGGTTTTTTGCCAATTTTCGGCGCCGATTCGTGCAAAAACCAAAAAGAGAGATTTGTGACTATACACGTGTGACTCCCCCACGCGGGTATGCAATATGCATTACCTATGCAATATGCATTATCGATCATATTGTGGCATACATCAGCAATTATACCGTGATAGAACACGAGGCTTTGCCGTGTCAACTGAATCGGACATCAGATGTGTATATAGGTAGGTACTCGGTGCACTGAAAGAAAAAATGACACCCTGTACGGGGTATTGACGGTCATGTCAAAAATAACACCCGAGTGGGGTGTTTTGAGGGGAGTCGCTGAGCTATTATAAATGGGGTGTTTGGCGTACACCCCAGGAGGGTTTCGACGCATAGTAGGGAGTCGCAGCCGCTAAAGGGGGGTCAGCGCCGGCCCACATGGGGTTCCGTTAGACTGCAGGTGACACCCCTCAAATATCAGCCGAGCACCCCTTTTTGGTCCCTAAGCACCCGACAGGGTGTCAAACTCCCAAATTAGGGTGTAAAATATAGCAGCTCAACTCCCCTATTTTTCTGATATAACTCCCCATATTGTTCCTGACCCCCACGCGGGGAACCGCGCGCCTTCAGCAGGGAATCTCTCAGAGAAGTTTCACTCTCCTATACTTCCGAAAAACTCCCGGCGAGGATTAAATGTCCTTCGGAACGTTTGTTTTGTTGTTGGGTTAGGCCCTTTCGGTCGACAAGACCATTGCAGAGCCGAAAGGATGATAGGAATTAGGGGGAGACATTGGTCTGGGCAGGCACCCTAGTGAGTCGCCGGGGCTGAGCCCGTCCAGGGGACAGGCCATTCAGCCCCAAGGCACTCACTGCACCCGGCTACGAGGTGCGCTCCCTCAGGAGCAGCGGTGCCGCTCCAAGGGAGCAGCCCGCATGAGATAAAGTTGCCTGTCCAGTCCGGAGAGGGTTTCTCGTTCCTTCGGAACGAAAATCTCAGACTATATTTATAACCGGGTGAGGAGTTACTCTTTCCGTTCGCGGCCTTGCGGCGCCCTGTAGTGTGCACGACCAACGTATGACACGGTAATCAGTCTAGATATCATCATGATATAGTTGGCCACTCTACGCTATGCACGCTTTTGCCTTAGCTCCAAACATGCACCAGCCATTCGTGAAAAACAGGTCCCGATTTTACCAACTTTAGTTTGCGCCATCTATCGGTAGGATTTGAAGCTGAAAACACGGGGTGTCACTCCAGGATAATGACACCCCAGAGGGGTTTCAACGGGGGTGTCTCAGCGACACTCCAATTTTTTGGCCTGCAATTTTTGGGGAGTTCGCTAGCCGAACCTCTCCCAAGGGGGTCATGTACATTTTTGCGGCGTCAAAAGGTAATGGGGCTCCCGTGTCGGGTGTCACAACACCCATGACATCCTAAAATCATGAAAACGGAGCCTAATTTAGGAGTATTTTTGAGTATGTGGTGTCAGATTGTAAGAAATGGGGTTCCCCGATTTTTTTCAGTGTGGGAATGCGGTCTATAGCCATTACTTTAAGGAAATACCTAAACATTGGTGTCCATTTCCGCCAAGTCGGGGGTGCCCGAGCTCTCTAAATTCCCCGCCGGCTCGGCCGGCTTGGCTTTGGAGCCTCAACAGACCGCGCGGGTCAAAAGGTCACCGCTAGGGCGGCGGCGGATTTGCTGCGCCCGGGCACCCCCAACTCGGTAAAAATCGACACCTGTGTACCTAAACTATACTTTCCTCAAACCAGTTGTTTTGCCACAGTTTTATGAGTTTTTAAACTAAAAATGGTCAGGAAATAATGAATATTTGCAAAAGGATTTTATATTTATTATTACATCACTATTCTCCATCTTTCGTAGAGGCTACTTACCTATATTGCAGCGGAAGCTGATTACGCGTTGACCAAGCATAGTACGTAGTTCAAACCAGCTGAATGCTGATTGGCTAGCATTTTTCCGTAAGGGAATGGATTCCTCGGTAAGAGAATGACAAAGTGAAATTTATGGGAATGACTTCAGTCTTCAAACCTAAAATAGATACCGATATACATACGATATACGATAAATATCGATAAATATACGATCAATATAAAATCGATACCGATATGTATTTGGCTAGGGTGATCGTTGGGCCATAAAAGCTCCTGATTTGTTCTCGTCTCAGCTCAAGCTACAAAACTGTTACTTCAGTTCAAAACCCTATGTTAAAACTAAAAGCGGCATATTTGCTTTAAACGTTGAATGCATCCGACCGAAAAAGCCACGGTAAGAATGTCTACTTTTGGGTTTTCAGTCGGTCAGTCCGTCCACCCCAGTCAAAAATCCGTGGCGGCGCCCCTGAAAACACGTAACTTTATTACGAACAACGCAAACGGCAACAGACAACTCAAATATGCCGTTTTGTCGAAATACAAACAGAAACTGCTGCTTCCTTACACTTCGGAGCCCTTCGTCAGCTCTTTCTCTATTGCCCTGTTTGCAGACCGCGCTGGCCCAGAGCATGTCTCACCGTCTGCTGCGGTCCGGCACCACACTACCCACCGAGCTGGACGCTGTCGAGTTTAGCTCGGCCGCTCAGGAGCTCACCGACATCATGCCCCAGGCGACCCGAGACACTCAGGTGAGATAATGGTGGGGTGAGAGGGACGCGGTTGCAGCGGCCAGAAATGCAGTGGATAGTCCTTGACATTCGCGTCTTTTGCCTCGGAGCTTTACGCCTTCAGTTTATCATTATTTTCTTCGCTGTTGATTTCTGGTCGTCGGCATCTATTCAGTCCGCGATGAATTGCCTATTGGACATTTACTAAAGCCCGATTCACGTGTGCGCGTCCAGGTGGCGCGCTCGGTGCTGCAGAGCGTCAGTCAGCTGATGGAGAGTAGCTCAGCCGAGGCGGTCTCCGATCGGCACGCGGCCGCCGCCGCCGGGCGGCTGGCGCGTGCACTCGAGCTGATGGCCGTCAACATAGAGCTGGACGACGATGATGATGACGATGATGAAGAGCATGGAGGTGCTGCTGGAGTTGGTGCTGGTGGCCAAGTCTATAAGCCACAACGACTGGATCTGAGGTACGATGATCTATCCTTATTACGTATGTCTGTATGTCTCAAGTGGCGCGACGGCGGTTCTTTTTCTGTTTTTATCGTTTATCGTTTTGGAACGCGGAAAGTCGCTACTGAACTATTTGTAGTCGCATCTATGCCCTTCATTGATTTTTTTATGGGTATGTCCCTAAAGTAGTCACATGTTCCGTCATCAAACGAAGCCATTCGTGAAACCAAAAAATGGAATAACGCGTCAGCATATTTTTCCTCCTCAGTTCTCGTTGTTTCCTTTTTAATGACGCTGCGTGGTGTCTACTGTCCACCCTCCCCAGCACCCCGAACGTGGCCTTCTCGACCCTGGAGTACCTGGGGTCGGCACTGACCACCTCTGACCGAGACGTGGACCTATACCCGTCCCTGACGCCCGCGGCGGCCAACGGTACCGGTACCGGTACCGGTACGGCCAGCGGGTACCCCGGGCCGGTGACCACCGATCGACGGGATCCAGCCGGCGCCAGGGTGCGTATTTTACCGGTGTGTAGGATAATTGACGACGCAGGTGCTAAGTTTAGCGTAAGTTTAGCGTGCAGGTATACATAGAGGAAGGACTCGATATGTGAATAAGCTGGTTTGATGGGTGATGCAGATGTTGGGTTTACCGGGATGACTGTCGAACATGGTTGATATGGAGTGATTTTAGGGCATGTTTTATTGCGTCGACTGTTGATCTTATGTTTGTTGTTGAATTGCTCTACTGATGAGAGGTCACCGAACGACGAAGGGGTACTAACTGTCGGGAAAAGTGCCGGTTTTCCGTCCGACCCGTGCTGATGGGCCGACTGATTTGCTGTACGTTCCCAGGTGCGTGTGCCGGCGTCCGTGCTCCGCTCGGCCGGCCGGCAGCAGCGCCGTCTGCGTCTGGTGGTCATCTCGTACAGAACCTCGCGTCTGTTCCCGTCACACCAGGAGCGCACCGGGCCCGACCCCGGCGTCATCACAGTGACCAGTCAGTATAGGAGAGAATGGCGCACACTTAGACCCGTTATCCCCACCCCGGCGTCATCACAGTGACCAGTCAGTATAGGGAAAATGACGGAGACTCGTTATCCCGACCCCACGGCGTCATCAGTCAGGAGCAGACAATGACGTCCTTAGTTTTACAAAACTGCTTGGTTGTAACGCCCCATCTAGCTATGTGCATCGATGCACTTAAGTGCATATAAGTGCAATAATATATATTAACACATGGTTTCCCGTGTGTAAATGGTTTTAACGCACGGCGTGGATGGATTGGAGCACGAGTGTGTTAATGCACGAGTGAAACGAGTGCATTAACGCACAAGTGCTCCATTCCATCCACGAGTGCGTTAAAACCATTTATGCACGGAAAGCATGTGTTAAACTAATTAATACATGCTTAACGGTGCGAATTAAAATTAAAATTATACTTAGTCCATGACACTAAAAGGGCCTTTTATGGGAATTCTTAGAATAAAGTCAATGACCCTTCCGAAAAACTTCAGTCGAGAAATTCATCAATGCACGCGCGTGCACCAATTTAAATTGGTGCACGGCTACCTTCGAATTAATGCACGGTTAATCCCCAGTGAACGCACCGTAAAGTATGTATTAATAATTATTATTAAATGCACCGTAGGTTACCGATCTTGCTTCTTTGTGCTCGTTGTCAATATTTATACCCTCAACTTTTTAGCTGCCCAGCTGCAATGATAAATAACCAATGATATCACCTGCTGCAGTTCCCGGGTACGACACGAGTCGTCTTATGGAGCCGGTCAAGTTTGGACTGGGAGCTGTCAATGTGGCCGGCTTCCAGCCCCGCTGCGTCTACTGGAAAGAAAACGGTACGCTGCTGTCACGAGGGACATTCACCGAAAATTAGCAATGAGCGTAGAGAGGAGAAAGTTATCTGTGTACAATATTTTTATGACATTATATTTCTAAACGCTGAGCTAATTTGAAAATGCTTTATGTGATAGTGATCAATAATACGCGCCCACTCCCAAAAGAAGAGGTTACTCATGTATACGCGAAGAAATGTTGATGCACGGATAATTGTTCTGAAGGACCACCATCTCGTCCGTTTCTCCGGAAATGTCCCGGTCGTAGTAGGACCTCACCAAGGAGACCGGTCTGACCCTCTTCCCTACCTCTCCCGCAGAAATGTCCTGGTCGGAGGAGGGCGTCACCACGGAGCTGATGGGGGACCAGGCGGTCTGCTCCACCAGCCACCTCAGCTCGTTCTCAGTGCTATTTGACCCGGTGGCCGAGTCTATCGGAGGTCTGCACGAACGCATCCTCAGCATTCTCAGCTACATCGGAGCCGGCCTCAGCCTGCTGGGCCTGGCGCTCACCATTCTCACATATAGTCTGTTTAGGTAAGACGCTCACCCATTCCGACTACGGGCGATTACGATTAGCTGTTCGCTTTCCCTGTAAATTGCATTTATCTCGAACATAAATGAAGCTAGCAAAATAACAATATAGCAAAAACATATACGGGAAAGTTATTGCGATTATCAGTTACGACTGATTGATGACTTGTTTATGGTACAATTTGCAAATAAGAGATCATAGCGCACTAGTGATGCTTCCATTATCATTTGTCCAGAATATAAATTAATTCTAAGCATTTATAATAATTGTTATTTATTCATTCCTTCAAATTTTATCACTGTTTGTACGTACGTGTATCTACCTACAGATGTTTGAGCCGGGAGCGGCAGGGTAAGATCCTGCTGAACCTCTGCGCCTCGCTGCTGCTGATGAACGTCATGTTTCTGGTGTCCAACCTGCGCGTGTTCCTGCCGTCCACGCAGTTTTGCATCACCACCGCCGTCCTGGTGGGTACAACGTTCAGTTGGAGCACAAAATACGATCTCACACGGCTCTCTCCGTTAGTTCAAGAACGTACACAGTCGATTTATGCTGCTACGCAACTTATTATTTTAATATTGACCATGTTGAGGATCTTCTGCTTCGAACGGAAACGTGTCTTGGTGACCTGAGCCCGAAATGGAATAGGTTATCGGAATCGGTTAAGCGCCAAAATGGGACATAATCCGGCTGTTTTATTGCTACACAGGTCCACTACTTGGTGCTGACATCCCTCTGCTGGATGCTAGTGGAGGCCATCAACATGTACCAGCTCATCATCACCGTGTTTGCAACGTCCGAGTCCAGTTTCATGCTGAAGAGACTGCTGTTTGCCTGGGGTACGTATTGCCTTTCAAATCAATGACCATTAATTTAGGTACGTCGCTTGAACGACAAAAATGTTTATAATGTCGAAGAAGTTGTGTTGAACGCGTTCATAAATGCACAGGACGTGCGTTACGTACTACGTAGCAAGGTCGTCTTTGGCGAAACTCGTTCGTTTTGCTGTGTATGTGTTAGAAATAGCACTCGATAACGTAGAAAGGAATGCCACACAGACTCGCAAGTCGCAATCCATTAGCGAAGTATCGAGCGATGCTGGCAGTTTCTCATTCTGGGGTTTGCATTGACGGTTTGTGTCATGTTGACTCTTGGCCGTTCACTGGGCCATTATGTCATTGGTGCATTGAGTATAGTTTATTTGCGCTCTATGTACCCTTAACCCTCGCCCGCACATGGGGGGTTGCCACCCCCCAGGTAGTCTTTCTGCTCTGCACTCAACATTTTTAAAGCTAGAAGGCTGATTTTTCGTATAGCTGCTCATCTATCCTTTCTTGATGTCCCCTAAAAATTTCAAGTTTCTGTGGTTTTTGGTTTCGGAGATATGACCTTGTTTCTCAGGTCATGTCATGACCCAAATGGCCAATTCTCAACATCTTGCGTTGGCTATGGGTCTTGTGAGCTTTTGACACCTTGATTTCGGCCTTTTTTACCAGTCTTACCTCCCACCTATCATGGAACATGCTGTTCGACGATGTACAGATGTCAAGGTCAAGGTCAAGGTCAACCTAGGTCATCTAAGATAATTGCGTTTTAGGCAAGCGCAATTTACTTTTTGTGAATTTTTTTGACTGCATTTTTGGTAAAAGCTTATCAGATCATGATTTCATGTAATATGGACACATAAACAATCGGTGCACACATCAGTATACACACAGACACACACAGACATACAAACACATATAATTGACCTTGACCTAACTTGACCTGAAATGACCTCAGCAGCAAAAACCTGGTCGGGTAGTGTGACAAAGAGGTTCTAGCTGGCTTGGCACCAGAAAACGGCATCGTCATCGGTATATGATAAGCAGCGCACTTGATATCCAACGGTGACCCAAAACAGCAATATTTTTTAGTTTGACCTGACCTGGAAGGTCAATGACTGACCTGAGAAGGTAAAACTGGGTATCATTGGATTCGTCTCTTCCCAAAGAATCTTTTTGGTCTTTACCGCTAAGCTCTATCTCCAACAGGAACAAAATGGCGCGGGGGGTGGCAACCCCCCCCCCCATGTGCGTTCTAGGATGGGAAAATGGCATGTGCGGGCGAGGGTTAAAAGACTTGAGCTTATCGTCTTACTGCTCTGTTTATATTTACACCCATAGATGACGCTGACAGTCGACCCCTGCAGCTATACTGTACCGCCGAACTCAGGGTTATGCTTTCTGACATTTACCATACGGGGCGATTTTCGCTTATCTCGTACGATAAATGTTGGTTCTTTGACCCTGTGTCACTGTGCCACTGACGGCTCCATGTCATGACATCGCAGTGTCAGTTCTCAGACTCAGGGTCAGGGTTTGCTCGTTGGAGAAGACTAACAATCCTGTCTGCTCCTGCACAGGGTTCCCGGCGGCCGTCGTGCTGTCTGCCCTCATCTCCGACCGGCGGATGTACTACGAGGCCGTGGACGACCACTACTGCGTCATCAGCGCCAAGCAGCCCTACATTTTCTACATCAGCTTCTTCGGTCAGTGTGACGAGGTCGACTTATATGAACGGCCCGTTTATGTAAGGAACGGATATCGTTTGTGTCGTGGGCGATACTACACAGTACAAAAATTCAGCAAAATATTTGTTTTATATAAAATATAAATTATAATACTTTTTGGACTTACTTCACTATCATTTCATTGTGTCATGAGCATAAGGTCATTTTTCAACATCATAATCTTCAAAATGTTTACTATGTTCGTAATTTATAACATCAAACAAAATCAGTTCAAGGAAACCTATCTGCCAACAAATATGCAATGAAGATACACACTCTTTTCAGGCCCCGGATGCGTGATTTTGATCATCAACGTCATCGTCTTTGTAATGGTCTCACGAGTGCTGTTTCAACAAAGAACGCTCGGGAAATTCGGCGCCGTTCGAAAGTCTATTTCATTCAACCAGGTAAGTGACAAGTAATGCGAATGAAAGATGTTATTTACAGATACACCAATGTCTTATTTCTCCGGCCAGAATGGCGAAATAGCGTATACATCAGCCAGGAAAGCTTCTTTGCCCAACATAAAAACACAAGTATCTGACCTATCTTGCACTTTTGTTCGTTGAATTTTGGCTCGCCGGTGAAGATAAGTTTTTATCTGTACCCAAATTGACCACTGGATTCTGCGCCATCAGGTGCGCGGTGCATTCACCGTGATGGCTCTGCTTGGTGTCTCCTGGATCTTCGGTGCCTTTGCGCTCGGCCGGGCGCGCATCGCCTTCTCCTACATCTTCACCATCCTGAACTCGATGCAGGGCTTCATCATCTTCGTGTCGCGCTGCGTCCAGTACCCGGAGGCGCGGCTGGCCTGGCTGACGCTGATCAAGACCGGGCGCCGGAAGCAGCGGCGCGGCTCGGCGCCGGGATCCAGCTCGCAGACGCACAAGAAGAGCTCGCTGCCCAGCAGTCGCGCCGCCGTCAACTCGGTCACCTACTCGCTGAGCTCGTCCAGCGAGGGCGGCTGGCCGGGCCGACCGGACGCTTGGCGCGCCACGGGGCCGCGACACCGCGGCTCGCAGCCGGAGCGGAGCTCTCAGCCGCCGCCGCCGGAGCCGACGGAGCCCGCGCCGCCGCCGGAGGAGCTGCGGACGGAGCCGCCGCCGGAGACCGAGCAGGCTCCGGGACGGGGCGAGCGGCAGCGACGCTCCGAGCGACTGACGCCGCGGCCATCCGACGAGTCCTGCAGCAAGGAGGGCGACGACACGTCGTGGCAGTTCGTGCGCGCCGCCGGATCCACCTCAGATCTGGCTCCCGATCCTCCGCAGACATTTAACGTGATGCTGAACCAGGCCGGTGGCGAGCGGCTGCGGCGCTCGGTCAGCGTGGGTCTGCCGCCGGCTAGCGCGCCGCTATCGCCGCGACACCGCTACAGATCGCACGGTGACGTCACACGGCCGGCTCCTAGTGACGTCACCTTCTGCCGACCGGACGCGTATGACGAGCGGGAGCTGCCGCTGCGGCGCAGCCACTGGGACCCGCTCAACTACGGCAGCGGACAGCGGCACGGCTGCACGGAGACGGGCCTCACCAGCGGTCATCTCACGAGGAAGGCCGATCGCGGCGGCGGCGACTGCGAACCCCTACCGCCACCGCCGGATCTGGTAGAGGAATCCTCTCTGGAGACGAGCCAGGCCGAGCTCGTTTCAGACCAGACCAGTTCGAAGATCTCGGACGGCGGGGGCGAGGACCGGTGGTCTTCGCGAGCCACCGGGACCGACACCCTGGTCAGCCGGTCTCGACTGTCGGCACCGCGCCCGGAGCCGCCCGACAGTCGACTGTAGCGGACCGGCCGCACACGTCTGCCCCGGCGGACCGACATCGGAGCTCAGCAGAGCCCTGGGTGGTCCGCTCCAGCTTCCCGCAGTGTGGCCGCTTATACCGGTCCATGTTTGTAATCAGGTTAGCTTCAGATGAGTTTGTTGGTGATGTGCGCTTAGTAGATGTGGCTGTTCATTCCCTTTGCCTTGCAGATGGTAATTTCATGCGTGAGTTAGGCGCAATGTAATAGTCGCTTGAGTTCAATGTGCTATTGTATTTTTTTTTACAAGTGTTTTGTGCTTATGCGAAAATCTTGTACATACTGTGTTATAGTAAATGACTGTTATATAATTTCGCGCAGGCAAAGATGTGCGTGCGCATCGCGAGTAATGTACGAAATCATTCGAGTTGGCGTCTGCTTGCGCCTACGTGTGCTGGCTCGATGCTTAATTTATTCTGGAAAAACATCTTAGTTTTAGTGCTGTTGCAGCGTTCAGTGAGACAGTAATGCATCGACTCTCTCTAATTAAGTTGCTCCAATATTCGGCCCATGCATATCTTGCTGAAGCCGCATGATAATGAGTCCGGAGATTATTGTAATTAAGTGCGTCCATGTGACGTGTGGCAGCAATATATGTTGCGACGTGCTACCGATCCTTTTTATTCAAGTTTATTTATACGTAGTAGTTATCGCAGATCCATGCTTCACAAAAACAACAAGAGATTCTGGGTTATCTAAATCAGCGACCGGCAAAGGATTCAGCCTTTTGTTTCGGCTTGGTCTTTCGACCTTATTCACTTGGCAATTGACATTCTATTGTGGTTGCTGTACATACCTACCGGAAAGAGCTGGTGCTGGGAATCGACAGGGTAATCATGAAATGCGAGGAGAAACATTAGCAATAATGCATTCGTGGATTCCCTAAATCCATAGCGAAAACCAATACTGGTAGTAGTTTTTAGCTTCACTCATTTTGTTGAGCTACGCGTGAGTGGTGGATGATGACTTCGCGATAACAGGGCCGAAGAGGGATCGCTGCTGCCCTTTCCAGCGATTTAGGCTGGCTGCGGCTGCCCAAACAATGAGGCGGATGCATTTCTGGATCCCATTTCCTTCTCACAGGCGAACGTGACGCGGACAATAGGTTTGTCGCTGGTGGAGCCGGCGCTCGGTGCGGACTTGCCGTTGCGGCATCTGGCAAACGCTGAGAACGCCAGTGCTTCGCCGACGTCAACCAGACAGAAGAGTGACAGGCCCGTGAAGAGACCGAGGAAGCCGGCCGCGTTGGCCGCCAGCGTGCTGACCGTGAAAGAGAGCGACTCCTCGAACAGGTCCATGGTCAGGTCTATCTTGAGGATGACCTGGGTGGTGCACTGGGAGGCCGGCTGCGCGATGTGCTCGGTACGCGGGTCGGCAGAGATCCGGTAGGTAAGCTCACCGCAGGCCGGCTGACACTCGCAGCCGGTCAGGTTGGTGAGCAGGCTCCGAGGCACCAGCTGGATACCCACGTCTACCGCCTCAGACTCGGCCGAGCTGAAGTTGAGACCTGACTCGAGGTCAGCCGCCTCGGACAGACTTGGACTGGGCCGTGTGCTTCTGAAGCTTTCCTCCAGACATTCAGGAGGGTGGCGGTCCGACATGATGTTCACCAGTCGCTTGTCGGCTCCCCAGCCGACTCCCCTGACGATCTTGTCGCAGAGAGGCAGGTGGTCCAGCGGTCCACGCAGCTGCGGAAGGTAGACGTCAGGCCCGACCATGTGTGGCAGCCGGCAGCTGGTGTGCGCCGCCAGCCGCCGCCACAAGCACTCCTTCAGACACTGTGCCGGTGAGTAGCCGTCGTCACTCCGGCAGGGCCGCCGGCGCAGGTTGACCAGCCGGCGGCCTCCCACTGTAACGCGGAAGAAGGCGTCCTGGCCGGGCTTGAGCTCGGCGAAAGAGGTGATTGGCACGCTTAGGCCGCTCTGCCGAGGGAACAGGTCACCCACGTTGGGCTCCTCGTCGCCGTGGATGAGCATGCGGTAGGCGATGCTGCGGTGGGCGTTGGTGAACAGCAGCGGCACGGCCAGCCGGAGCTGCAGCTCCACCTCGCTGCTGGCCAGCCGGTGCAGCGCGGCGGACGGCTGCAGGGTGTAGCAGCGCACCTCCCAGACCAGCTCACCGCCACTGTGCTGCTGCTGGTAGAAGCGCGAGCGCCACACGCCGTGCTCCGTGACGTCGGCGGAGATGTGGGTGGTCTCCGACTCGGCGCCCTCCACGAACAGCTCTCCGTGCAGCAGCTCCAGCGTCGTGTCGTTGTAGAAGCTGCTGATGGAGATGTTGCCATCCGCCAGCTGTCGCTGCCGCTCCAGCCGCAGCCGGTTGTCGCGCATCCACGTCCCGGGGCAGAGGGTGATCCGCGGGAAGGGCGCCTGCTGCCGGATGATGGCTGTGCTGACCGGCTCGGCCCGGAACTCGGCCAGCTGCCGGCACAGCAGGGTCAGCAGCAGCGCCAGTAGGGCGGCTCGCACCACCCAGTGCACCACTGCGCGAGCCGGCTGCCGCTGAGAGGTTTCACCGCCAGACGAACGGCTGAGCATGTCTGCCGGCGAGACGGAGATCGACGACTGGCAGACGACGCGTGATGAGAAAACAGGAGTGAGCTGGTAGATCAAAGTGGCTGATGCTGAAGAGATCCTGACTAGTCTATGCGATGCAGAAAGGTAAAGAGGTAGCTTGTATAGCAGTTGGTATATGAGAGGAGGGGAAAGCAGCACAAAATAATGGTGGATAAGTAAGAGAAATAACTGAAAGGAATAATTAACGAATGACTATTAGGAAGAAGCCGAGCAGGGGCGCGGGAACTACTTTCCGACTGGGGGGGCACAACATAATAGAGATTAACCTAGGGTACCCCCAAATCTAGTTTTCTCACCGGTTTTAGGCCACTTATTTTTCACCCCTCGGCTTTTTCAACAAAAAAAAGAAAACATTTGCAAAAAAAGTGTGGTATTCCGTCTCAAAGCTGTGGGGGCACCGCCCCCACGGCCCCAGAGTTGGGGGGGCAAGCTGCCCCCACTGCCCCCCCGGCTCCCGCGCCTATGAAGCCGAGTCGGCAGCACCGCTCGCGGACCGACTGACCGTGCTCACCCGCGGCGTTTGGTCGTCAGCGCCGCGTCCACGCGCTCTGACCGCGATATGACAGAGCGACTATGAAGGCCTTTACTCGAAGAAGTCAAATAGAGTTCAATGCGATCCATAGCAGAACTATTGATAGCGGGAATACGGTTCTCATGTAGACCATCAATGTTTGATGAGGGTGTATTTACCATGCCATGTACACAAAAATATTTCGCGCTTTGCATAGACGTTTTCGTAGGAAAAGCTTAAGCGTTCGACACGTAATTGTTTGCAGTACATCACGTCACGACATTATAGCAAACACCATAGACCTTGTCACCTTTGTTTCCTGAAATGCCCGATCGCTGGACAGAAAGGTTTTATTTCCATGCGTTTGGTGCACAGCGCATGACGTCAGGGACCTCTGTCCCGGTTGGCTGCACTGGCGGATCCAGGCTTGCGTTTTGGGGGGGGGGGGGCCAACTCATGCAGGAGCCAAACCTAGGGTACCCCCAAATCCTGTTTTCTCATCGGATTTAGGCCACTTATTTTTCGTCACAGCCCTGACACTATGAATTTTTTTTAACTAAAAAGAAAAATATATAAATGGTAGCCCACCCGACCCATGCCTTTATATTACTTTGTAAACACTTACCATTGTTTTTATCGACCAGTTAAAGGGACCCTCCCACCTTAACATTAGATTTGAGCTGAGATAGCCAAAATGGGGTCCCTGGCTCACAATTACCGGTTTCGGCACGCACTCACAACATCGAGAAATGCCTTAAATCGGAAATATTGAATTTCAAAAATGCAGCATTTTGATTCAGAGGGGCTAATGCTTTTGGATACCCCTCTGAATGTGTGACGTCAGCGGAGATCTAATGATTTTTTAATATTTTACTAAAACGTTTGGTAGCATGCGGTGGTATAGGCTGCTTTGCGCGCAACAAATGCCGCACTTTCAAATAAAGTCGCTAGGAACAGCAGCGGATATCCCAAAAAGTAAACAAAAATAAAAGTATAATCTCTTGAAAACCGGTGAATATTTTTCGATAAAATTTGGTAGATATTCCTTTTCGACCTTTCGCAGGGCATATTTTAACATACTGACTGCGTCCCTTTTTGGGACGCAGCCCCCTGCCTTTGGGACGTAGCTCTCGCGAAATTTGGACCACTGCGTCCCACACTGAAATGTCACGGTTTCAGCGGAAAAGTGCAAGCAAAAATAATTAGCATGCCTCGGTCTTTTACTATGCAACAGATGTTGCCTTTCTGATTGCTTTGTGCCCTGATTGCACCTAAGTACATGCGCTCTCCAGTCCTTGTGCCCTGCCCTATCCTAGGGTCGTACACTTTGTTATGTCCTGCCCCACTATACCCCTAGGATATGTGACCTGCCCAGTGCCCTGTCCTAAGGTCTTGTACCTTGCCCTGCCCTTCCTTCAGACCCTGCGCCCTGCTCTGCATTCAGGCCCCGTGACCCTCTCTGCCCTGCCCAGTGCCCTCAAACCCGATACCTTGTTGTCTTCCCGTCTTAAGGACCCGTTCGGTGCTGCTGCCGGTTCGGTGCTGGGCCCGGATTTCGGGAAAATTGTGCATATTTAGTCCTGTTCCTTACCCTGCCCTTAGATCGTATAATACTTATATTGATAAAAAAATCAAATATAAGACTTTAGCTAAAGCTGGAGGAGATTATCCCTGGACCTGGGCGGAACCCAGGGAGGCGAGGCGAGCTATCACAAGCAACATAAGTGTCACCTTTAATCCCCACAACGGCGCCTGCGAGGGCCCTCGCCGGCGGCTGTGAATGCCCCACACCGGTGCCTAGCTGAGGGCCCAGCACTGCCACCTCTGAGTGCAACCGGCACCCTTGAATGAGGTCCCGAAACCAGTGCTTCTTAAGGCTATATATCGGCGGCTGTGGGGGCTTAACGCCGGAGCCGCATCGGACGGCCACTCACCGGTGACTTTTGAGGGCCCCACACCGACGACTCTGAGGGCACCACTGGCGTCTGAGTGTACCTTGCTGGTCTCTAAGGACTCCACAGGGCTCCCGAAGGCACCGCAGACCTCTTGAGAGCCCCTTGTCGGTCTCTGAGAGCCCCTGTCGGCTTGAAAAGGGTTCGAGCCAGCAGCTCTAGCCTCTAAGGGTCCCACACCCGACTGTGACAACCCCACACTGCAGTGTCTATGAGGGCCCACAACGGCAACTGTGAGGACCCTCACCGGCGCCTCTGAGAGCCTTCAGCGGCACCTCTGGGGCCCCGCACCAATGCCTCTGAGAGCATCACACCGGTACCTGTGAGGGCCCACACCAGTGCCTCCAAAGGCTTCATAACCGGCGGCCCTGAGAGCCCTACACGGGAGATTTTGAGGGTCGTACCGAAGGCACCACACAATCCCTTAGTCTCGCTGAGCTTCTATCCCAATCCCATACTGGCTTCTATTCTATCCCAATTCCGGCTCAACTAATTATCAGCCCCCCCCCTTCCATGGGTCAGCAGCGCCGCGCCGGTGCCGGGGGCCAGCGCCATATATCGGGGCGGCAGTCGGCCACGC